GAGTTGAAGTCCACCCATCTTAAAGTCGCTGAGGTTGAGGAACCCTGTCCTTGTGGATACCTATGTCCCTCCTGCTTTCCAGGTTCCATGCTGGCTGGGGAATTCTGGGAGTTGAAGTCCACCCATCTTAAAGTCGCTGAGGTTGAGGAACCCTGTCCTTGTGGATACCTATGTCCCTCCTGCTTTCCAGGTTCCATGCTGGCTGGGGAATTCTGGGAGTTGAAGTCCACCCATCTTAAAGTCGCTGAGGTTGAGGAACCCTGCATGAGGAGGTCAGGGTGGCAGCCACCACCATGTAATTGAAGCCCCACCAACCTTCTCAACCCTGGTGTTGTTTGTGAATTATGGGTCCTGCTGCCTAAGGACGAGGGGAACTGAAGCAGCATCAGCCGCGATCCGGGTTGAGAAGGCTGGCTTAACTGACATCCAGATTCCCCTTTGAAGATGTCTGGGTCAAATCTTGAAGGCTCCAAGTTGGGGAAGCCTCCGAAATCAACGTCTGAGTCTTCTGTGCGTTCATCATCAATACCATCCATTTTTGCAGGGGCCAGGATCTGAGCCGTTTTTGTCCGGGGAAGGCGGCGACGCTGGTTTCTGCAGGAAGACTGACACACTTCTGCAGCTCTTCCTCTGCAAAGCTGAGACCAGAGAACAGTCCTCCGGGTTCACTGCTTCCTGCACTTGCACTGAGCGCTGGACGGGTCGAGTCCAAGTTCTCAAGGTTTGAGAGCTTGCAACAGGCATCCAATGAGGACTGTGCTGCAGAGAACGGTCGTGCCTTGTGGCCATTCTTTGCACGAACGCCAACTCCTACAGCAGGTATTTTTACAGTCCAAAGAGAAACTGAAGCATTTCAAAGTAGAGGAAAGGTGCAAGCAATCTGAAGCATGCTTGAAAATGCACAATTGTGGGAGGGGAATCACCTGCCAGGTAAGAGAAGTAGGAAACTCTCTGCAAAGATTGTCCCGCTGTTGGACAGATCTTACCATCAGGAAGTTTTTCATTATATTTACGTGAAATCCAAGCAGCTGTAATTTACGTTAAAACCCGTTATTTCTAGTCCTCATTTGGGTGGCCACGGAAAATCGTTCATGAGCATCTTCCCTGGGGCACCCTTTTGCTGGTTCTGAATGCTGACATCCCAGTCACTGAATTGGATGGAAGCCTGGAGGCGAACCAGTCCAATTTCTTCTCTAGGTAGGAATCTTGCAACCCTGGGAGATATTTCTCCACCCTCTGCCTAAAGACATCCCTTACCAACCAAGAGCTTGCTCTCTCCTCAAGCGGCCGAGCAGCTCTTCCCATCAGGAAGCTTATCCTAATGATGGGCTGAAATCCGCCCTTCTGCCAAGCTTTGTTGCCTCTCACCTTGGCCTCTGGACCAGGAGAGAACAAGGTTGCTTTTTAGTTCAAGACAGCAATCATGTCTCCCCTGGGTTTTCTCCAGGCCAAGCAATTCCAGCTTGTATTAAGAGTAAGGAAGCTTCAAAACAGAGAAAGCTAATACAGATCCTCCAGCTTAAGCCCACCGGCAGCTTTTTGGCATCCCACGTGTTCTGCATCTCCCTCGGGTTAGAGACCCCATCGATGATACATCGGCCGCAATCTCCACAGGTCCTATTGCTTTGGGGAAACAAGTATTGAACCTGATAAGCTGAGAATGTTAACACCGTGTCCTGACAGTTAGATTGGGGTTATCGATCAAGTTGCCTGGGACAGCTGATCCATTAAGCCAATATTTTCACAAGGCTGTCGTTCCACTTGTGTGAAGTACAAAACCTCCCATCTGGATAGTCCATCACTTGAGAAGGGGATCGGCCACAGATTTATCTGACAGGTCTATCCATCAGATATATGTTTTATCATGCTTCCAACGGGACTTTCTCAGTGGCAGAGAGATAAAATGTGCGGTTGCAGGGAACGGAGCAAAAAGCTGAGTTTCCAAGAGGGGGGCCGGGCAGATCAAAATCGAAGTTGGGGAAAAGTTGCCTGCCACTCAGCCTGCTGGGTTTGGAGCACCCTCATTTCACCTGGAGTTATCTGATTTTTAAAACGAAACCGAAACAGGGTTTTACAGATGTGGAGGCAGAGAGAAAGCGAGCAGTTCCAGGAAAGGGCAGTTTTGAAAGAGCGGCAGGGCCATTCAAATAATCAAGTCATGCTAATGATGGATTATGTGAGCTGACGTGGGCAGGGGCCGCACAACGCTGCAAAAAAGCAGTGTGTGGGAGGCCTCTTCTAGGGTCCAACGTTGCAACTAAGGCAGATCTGAACTAAGGCAAGACGGGACCACAGCAAGAACCAAGGTAATGTTGATGGTCCGGTGCTGAACCACCAATATGGTGCTGAGCGGGGAGCGTAGAGGCTGAGGTTCTGGTCTCTGCTCAGCTCCTGAAGTTCCCTGGGTGACTTTGAGCCAATTCTTCTCTCTCTCCTTCAGCCCAGCCTACCTCACAAGGCTGTTGTGGGAAAAAATAGGAGCACGATGCCCGCCACCTTGAAAGGGGAGATATCAATCCAATCAATAAACAGCAAGAGAGTGTAAATTCTCAGGGTGATAAAAAGGCCAAAGTCCCTCATAACTGGTTCAGATGATTTAGTTACATATCAAACCGTCTTACTAAAGTTCTTCCTCTCGTATAATATATGACCCGAGTCTGTCATGAAAAATTCATCTGTCCTGGTTCTCCCAGTGATTAAGAGGGAAACTCGATGCTCTCCTTCCTCGCTTGGCATGGAGATAGGGCAGAACCTGATCTGCTCGGAGCAGGAAATTAACCCACCGGTTTAAGGCCCAGAAAATTCCCAGGGGAGACTTCCCATCTAGCTCAAATGGGTGCAAGATTATGGACATTGCAAATAGGCTACGCATAGCAGAAACCTGCTTTTTTTTGGCATCCTATCCCATCTAGGAAGGAAGGAGATTGCCAGCCATTCTGGTAAAGCTAGAAGAAATACATGAAGAAAGATTCTAGTCCACTGGATCATCCCCGGAGGATTGTTCTGTGTGGTTCTGCTGCTTGTGCAGACCGGGTCACAGGCCCTTCCTCTCCGACATCTTCAGAATAAAGTTTGCTAACGTGAGCTCTCCCTTCTTGAAAAGGTATTGGGAAAACACTTTTTATTCTTGGATTGTTTTTGAAAAGATCTAACCCTGACAGCTTCGTTCAACAACTGTTTTTTTTTTCCTTCCCCCCCCATTAATGGTGTTTGGGCATAGCCACACACACACACTCGCCTTAGAACAGGGTTGAGGCGATTGTATTGTCCTATATAAAGGCGGCTGGACAAAGAAGAGGTTGAGATAGCAGGAGGGCTTTGTATGGGAAGATTTGGGATAAATAATTGCTATTATTTCCTGAAGGAAATTTGGAGCAGTGTTTGGGCGCTCTCGTTTCGCCGTCTCCGCTCAAAGGGTCACGAGAGAAGGATTCTTAAATGTTGTTTTTTGCCCACATAAACAGGGATGTTTACTGGGTTTAACTTACTTATTGTGAAACCCATCCATCACAGAAGAAGGATAAGGGGCAACCTTTTTCTGTACACACGGTACAGGCACACAGACCGTGCAGAAAAACCAACCGACTTCCACACATCGTCACCCGCTGTCTTGCAGAGACCCCAAGTGCACTTTCTAAGTGGGCTTCTCCTCCCATTTAAAGTCTCCCCGCTTTGCCCTGTTCAGTCCAACAAGGCAGAAAGCAAGCCTCAGGAAATAAGAGTAAAAACCATCTTGGTCTTTAGCATCGGTTGCTGAAGGGGACGTGGGATGTTAGCTTGGCCCATCCAAGGAAATGCGCCTGTGCCAACGGAGAGCCTCTAAATGGGATGGAGGGTCAGCACTGAACTAGGGTGCAGGGTAAAAGTGTGAAATAACACCCTGGTGCACCATTATCGTCACTGAACAGGAGAAGAAAAAGATTGGCCTTTAACTGGACACTTTGGAAGTCCCCAAAGAACAACTCCCTCAGATGGAGGGAGAAAGCCACGCCATCTTGAACGCAACCTTACACCTCCTTGAGTAACTTTAGGTGAGAAAAGAAAAATGATATGGAGTCCTAGAGTTGAAAGGGTCAATCAAGGCCGGCTACTCCAACCTCCTCCTCAGAAATTCAGGTGAAGGTTTCCACGATGTCCTGCTTGAACATATCCAATGCAATGGAGCCTCTCAGCTCTCTGTTATTGGCTGCACTGTCCAACTGTTCCTACTGTCAAGAAGTCTACTTTTCTAACCTTCAGTCACATTTGCCTTATCTGAAACCCATTATTCTATGTCCTGCTCTCAGGGATGACCGAGGGATCTTAGACTCAGTTAGAAGGTGTTGCTGAGGTCAACTAGTCCAACCCTCTGCTCAGTTTAGAAATCCAAGTGAAAAGTCTTCCCAGCTGTCCAGCCTCTGCTGGACCACATTCAGTGAAGGACATCCCACCACCTCTTTCAGCTCCGCTGTCAGACTGCTCCTAATGTTATGAAGTTATTTCTAATGTCCAACGGGAGCCACTGAGAAGAAACGTTGACTTTCTGAGTGACGTCCTTTCAGGGCCTTGAAGAATGCTCTTTTATTTCCCCTCAATCTTTTCTTTTCAGGGCCAAACTGAATCCCAAATAGAGTGGGACTATTAATAATTGGGTGCCGGAAAGGCAGCTCTGTGCATTGAGAACAGCCTTTCCAATGAAAGCAAATCAGGGTCAATTTGATAGGGAAAAACATGGAGGAGGACAGCCGGCACCCATTAAGGCAGTTCGGTCTTCCCCAGCCTGATGCTCTTCTGATGCGTAACGCTATTTTTTTCCACAGCCCCAGCCAGCAACGTGAGAAGGCTAACCATAGGTGGGATACGTTATGTGAGCCTGTTCTGATACCATCTGCCATGGCTGAAAAGTGTGCAGTCCTCATAATGAAAGCTGAAGAGGCAACCAACAGCTGCTGAAGGAGAATTGCATCTCATGGTGGTCTGTTGACCTTCCTTCCTTCCTTCCTTCCTTCCTTCCTTCCTTCCTTCCTTCCTTCCTTC